GGCGCGGCCGCGAGCCGAGCTGCGGAGAAATGTCCGCAGCTCGGCTCGCGGCCGCGCCCGCCGCCGCCCGGCCCCGCGCCCATGCAGGCCATCAAGTGTGTGGTGGTCGGCGATGGGTGAGTGCGCTGTCCCGAGCCTCAGGGGCGGAGGGGCTGGTAGGCGGCTACGGGGTGAGGTGAGGCGGGGCGGGGCAGACAGACGCGGGGTCCTGGCTAGGCGGTTCCGCCGCGCCCCCAGCATAGCCTGGCCGCGTGCGTTAAGGGGCCGATGGGGTGGGGTCAAGCGCAAGCTGTCCACCTTCCTCTTACCCCGGGCACACCTGATGCTAGCCGGCCGCCACCCCGGTGCTCACAGTGGGTGTGGCCGGGCCTCACCTGCGCTGATTCCTGGGTGGCTCCACCCTCGCGCCAGCCACCCAAGGTACTGGGAGCTCTGACGCCCCTGTGCGTTGCGGCGCGCCCCATCCAGGATTGTGAGCCCTTGCAGCCGCGCCCACTGCTGTGCTCCCTGGGAGGCTAGCCTGCTCTGGTCAGTTTCTATCAGCCCCAGGTGGCTGCAGATCTGTAGGGCTATGACCTGCTCACCCCACCCCAGTCACCCAAACTAACCTCCTGCTCTGCGGGAGCTGGCTGCCCTTGCGGGGAGGAAAGGGGCGGAGGCTCGGCCCTGGAGCCACGTGGGCTGAACCTCTTTCCACAGTGCCGTGGGGAAGACTTGCTTGCTGATCAGCTACACGACCAACGCCTTCCCGGGAGAGTATATCCCCACAGTGTGAGTGCATGGCGGTGGGAGGTAGCTGGAGCTGGCCACTAGAGGCCAGTCACACATATACGGGACCTCCCCTAGGCTCCAGGTCTTGTTCAGGTGATCCTAGTTTTGGGTTTCCATGGTGAGGCTGTGGCGCTGGCCAGAGTTTGGGTTGTGTGGGCTTCAGAACTCGAGACTACTGGCTGGGCGCCAGTACCCCTGCATCCCTGGCCAGCCTAGCCTTTCCTCTTTGCAGTTTCGACAACTACTCAGCCAACGTGATGGTGGATGGGAAGCCGGTCAACCTGGGTCTGTGGGACACTGCTGGCCAGGAAGACTACGATAGACTTCGGCCACTCTCGTACCCTCAAACCGTAGGTGGCAAGAGGGCTGAGCTGGGTGGTTCCCGGATGGGGAGGAGACACATACTGCTTGGACACCCTTTGGTCAGTTCTGTCTGTCCCTCCCTCTGAAGGATGTCTTTCTGATCTGCTTCTCCCTGGTGAGCCCGGCCTCCTTTGAGAACGTCCGTGCCAAGGTAGGGTGGGCCAAGGGGTCCTAGCAGAAAGCACACCCCTGCTGAGCAGGGGTCTCTGCCAGTGATCTTTTCTGCTGAGGGAGGCACTGAAGGTGTCAGGGTGGACAGCTCACAACTGGCCATGAGTGCTAACTGAAAAGCTGTGGACAGTCTCCAGCCTCCCTGGATGGGTATCTTTGTTCGCTGCCAAACCCGAGAAATTCCTGTCGCCTTGTGGTACAGGAAGAACTCCGTGTGTCAGGGGAAAGAAAAGCCTCAGGAGCTGAGGCCTACTTTGGGCAGAGTAGGGGCCCTCCCCACCAGGCATAAGGGTCTCTGAAGCCTGTACAGAGTCAGAACCTCTGTTCCCACAGTGGTACCCAGAGGTGCGGCACCACTGCCCCCACACACCCATCCTTCTGGTGGGCACCAAGCTGGACCTCCGCGATGACAAGGACACCATTGAACGGCTGCGGGACAAGAAGCTGGCGCCCATCACCTACCCACAAGGCCTGGCCATGGCCCGAGAGATCGGTGAGTAAACACGGAGCACAGACTGGGGGGCCTGCTTGGAGGTGGCCCTGCCTGTGCCGCTCCCCCATCTACAGCCACCCCCTCTGCTATCTGTCCTCCCAATGTTCCTAGGTTCTGTCAAATACCTGGAGTGCTCAGCCCTGACCCAGAGAGGTCTGAAGACAGTGTTCGATGAGGCCATCCGGGCAGTACTCTGCCCGCCCCCAGTGAAAAAGCCAGGCAAAAAGTGCACTGTCTTCTAGAACCGGGTCTGGCCAGCCTGGCTGAAGAACCCTCGGGTCGAGCTGTCTGGTTTCCCTACGTCTGCTGTAGGAAGTGGTGTGGGTGGGGAGGGGGAGCATGGGGACAAGGCTGGGGTGATGGGGTCCTGTCCCCTATGCCTCCTTTTTCTGGGATATAGCACCAGTCTTCCCTGGGTCCTATGGGAGGCCAGGAGGGAGCAGGGTCTCCCTCAGGGCTGTAGGGGTGGGTCCAGGGGAGCCCCAGGATGGGCTTCCCCGGAGGGGAGGGTGGGGGTGGGCTTTGTTCATCATGTCCCAGGAAAGGGCGGCCCCTTCTTATTTTATACAATAAACATTCACCACCTGCTCTGTCTCACCGTCCGCCACGCCTTCCACCACCGTGGTACCTGCCCTAGCCTTTCCCTGAGGGCAGGAGAGTCCAACATTCCTGGCGCCACTACATTTCCAAAAGAAGCTCTGGGTTTTACACACCCTCGGTGAGGGGAAAGACACCACACAGGCAATACAAGGGTGGGTACACTTAGCCGCCTACAGGATGACCTCTGTGTGCAAACCTGGGGCCTGGTGGGAACCTAGGGGACGTGGTCAGCAGCTCTCAGAGCTGAGGGGAACGGTCGGTAAAAAGGATGAAGCCTGATCTCTGTAAGCCTAGCGGGCCCATCTCTGACCAGTATGAGATGCTCACAGGTTGCTGAATTGGTGGGAGGGCAACCCATAAGGCCCCAAAGTTATGGTCCAGAACTCGGACTTATCCCAGAGGCTGAAGATACTTCCCTGGAGCAGACTTGAGACCGGAGGATGCCCTGCAGGAATGCATTCTCCTCGCAGAGAAGCATGCAAGTGGGTTCATGTACTCAGAGGCTGGTTGTTCCTTTTTTTTTTTTCAGGAAGTTTGCCAGCCAGTTGTTAAACACTCTTATTAATAATTAAATCCCATAAACTTACAATTAGCTGTGCTGAGAACAAAGTTAGCAAATTCCTCATTTCCTAATTGCTTAATACATGTTGCCGTCCTTTGGCCCTCATGTTATGTATGTAATGGGGTGCTGCTGTGGACCTCCTCACCCCTGCATCCCCCCAAATGATATCAAGTGGACAGCTTGACGTCAGCTGTGATCCAAGTTCCACACCGTGGAATATGGCAAACCACGTGGACTAGGGCTTGGTTTTTCAGTGACCCAGGAAGTGAGACACTGCAAATGAAATAAACCAGGACCCTCTAATTATGTTGTAAATAACGTAAAACGTCGTAGGAATGTTCAAGTTTTAGAAAACAACAAAGAAGTCATTCAGCTCACTGGTTAGATGTCTGCCACCTCTTTTGGTGTGCGTACCACTCACTGGCTTGAAATTAAGGTCTATTGGCATTCCCATAGGAATCATACAGAGCTGTTTGTTTGGTTTGGTTGGTTGTTACCAACAATCCACAGCTCCACTCCAGAAACCTCTGGACAGGCTGTCTTGAGGCACTGACCGAACTCTTGAGGATCCAGCCTCTGGAAGGTCCTGCTAGGAAGTGCGCAGGAACCAGGCTATACCTGCTTTGGGTCACAGAGGGCATGAAGATCTCTGCCTACCTGAGCACACAGGCTGGACAGAGACGTTTATTGGTGGGATGGAGGGCACAGTGTTCTGAGCATAAGGCTGAGCGGAGTAATGGTGGAGGGGGCTCAGGTAGCCAGGAAGCCGCCGTCCACCGGCAGAGCACAACCCGTGGTCATGCTACTTCGGTTGCTCAGGAGGAAGAGGATGGTGTCCACCACGTCCTCCACTTCTGTAGGCAGGATGAGGTCAAGAGCAAAGGTGAAGCAAAGCAGCTTACCTCATCCTTCCAGCCCCAGCGGATCCCCAGGCCCAGGCAAGCCCTAGGCCTGCTGGTCCCAGTCTGGACTCCTGCCTCGCTTACCAGCGAACTTGCCAAGTGGGATGCGATCCAGCATAACCTTGGCCTTGTGGGGGTCGCTCCAGTTGGTCCGGCCCATGGGTGTCATCACTACTGTGGGATTGACCGCATTCACACGGATCTGCAAAGAGGCCAGCGAGTTAAGCAATGTACGAGGGTACCCTGGGCACAGGGACCAACTGGAGGAGTGACCCCGGGCCAGCACACCTTGTGGGGTCCGAGCTCCAGGGCCATCATCTTGGTCAGCATGTCCAGGGCGCCCTTGGTGGAACCTGTGAGGAAGAGTAGCTGTAGAGGCCAAGAGCTGGCCCGGGAGTGGCGTTGGGAATCCGACACAGCTGGGGTTACTCACAGTAGACACTATGGTTGGTCAGCGCCCGCTGGGAGGCCTGGCTGGAGACGTTCACGATGGCTCCTGGGACCCCCCGAGCTATCATGCCCTTGGCCACAAACTGAAATTTTGAGGGTTGTGAAACAGAACTAACCTTCTACTTCAGGGTTCCTACCCCAGCCAGATAGGGCAACTCACCTGAGACACCTGGATGACAGCCCGAAGATTCACGTTGAAGGACCTAGTAGTGAATGAACAACCGGGTCAGGGGCAGGACTCCTGCTGCTGCGTGGGATGGTTCCTCCAACCCCTGTTGGCTTACGTGTCACAGGCCTCCTTGGTGATCTCCAGGAAGGGTTGCAACAGAGCCACACCGGCGTTGTTCACAAGCAGGTCCACCGGTCCCACATTGCTTAGGGCCCGTTCTGTGGCCTCCCAGTCTGCCAGGTCCACACACACAGGCTCCACGCCAGGACACTGTGTGTATTGGGGCAAAGCAAAGCCGTTAGCAACTGTGTCCCAAGAAGGTAGTGCTGCTGGCCTTTTCTTCCTGAGGAAAGGTAGATAGCTAGTCTGGGAGAGTTGGGCCTGGAAGGGAGCTTTCAATTGGAAGGGTCAGGGGTCCCTGCCTCAGCAGCAAATTCGGAGGCGGAACCTAGAGCTGAGAGACACAGCCACGCCTTCGGGCATTTCATTTCCTATCCGCCCAGCATTCTTGAACCTAGGACTGCTCTCTCGCGGACATTGCATTTTCTTCCAAACTCAGGGAGCCAGGATGTCTAGATGGACCCCCGACAGTTTGCGCAGGTCTCGGATCTAGGAGTGCAGAGGGCTCCCACCCCAACACCCAGCGCCGGGCGCAGGGCGGGCCTGCAGTGAAACACGCTAAGGGTGAAGGGCGTCAAGGGGCGCAGCGTCTCACTAGGAGACCGGCTCCTCACCTCTGGACACAGCGCCTACCTACCTCGCTAACCAGGCTGTCAAGGTCCGCCCGTGTCCGGCTCACGGCCACAACGTGTGCACCAGCCGCCCGCAACGCTAGCACTGTGCTGCGCCCGATGCCTGAGGCGAGCGAGGATTAGTGCGGGCACCCCCTTTTCAAAACCAGCCGGACCCCACCAGCACCCCTCTCCTGCCGCCTCACCTTTGCCCGCGCCGGTGACCAGCGCCCGCCGACCTGCAAGTCCCAGGTCCATGGTGGCCCAGCCAGATTGTACTGGGGAAAGATGGACTTGGAGTTCCGGAATCGAGGGCGGGGCGAGGAGAACCAATCGCGTGGACTGCGTCTTGAAAAGGGCGAGGATATTAAAAATAATAGCTCCCTCTGTCGTGCTGATTGGCTGACTGCAGTGGGCGTGACCGAGGCGGGGCTGTGTTAACCTTGGGACACAACTTCCCAAACTGCACCGGATAGATCCAACTACAAAGGGTGAAATCAGCTTAGCCTTAGCGAACTCTGGTCAGCATGGTTTTCACTGCCAAGAAAAGTTCCATGAGAAACAGATATACTAGTCTTTCCAGGCGTTTCACGGATATTCGTGAACCTGAGAGGCATGTCCAAAAACATTTTATGTGCTTTTTCCCCAGGCCTGGGAGTGAGTCGCACTTGGGAGGCAGAGGCAGGTGGATCTCTTTGAGTTCGAGGCCAGCCTGGTCTACAAGGAGCTAGTTCTAGGACAGGCTCCAAAGCTGCAAAGAAACCCTGTCTTAAAAAAAAAAAAAAGGCACGAAAGGAAGAGATAGGATTGGCTTGCACATGAAAACTGGCCAGACAAGCATCGCTTTCCAAATCAGTAACAGATTAATGAATGTCCAGGTGTGCACTGTGTCTGCCTATGAAAATATCTTGTTGCTAGGGTCATGGTGAGGAAGACTAGAGCTCTGAGGACCTACTCTGGCCAGGAGTAGGGATCTGGTGAGGGCCGTGAGCCCAAAGAGGTGCGTGCGTGGCCTGAGCTTCAGGGGCTCAGTAGTTAAGATCCCTGGATGCTCTTCCAAAGGGTTCCACTGTGATGCCCGGCACCCGCATGGCTGCTCACAATCTTCTGTTTCAGAGGAACCCGTGCCGTCATCTGGCCTCTGTGAGCATGCACATGGCGCACAGACGTTCATGCGGGCCAAACCCATACACATAAAATAATAGCATTCTTTTTTTAAGAAAAGAAAAACAACCGAGGCCAGAGAGCCAAGTAGCCCCTCCCCCATCTTTACCTGCTCACCGCCACTGTAAGGTCGTTCTGTGAACTCTACCATCTGCTCCTAACCTTGAACTCTGCTGTTTGCCTGTTGGAAGGCAAAAGAAAGACAACACCCAGCCTGCCCAAGAGCGAGACACAGCTGCCCAGAGTTCATTAGTGGCTTCAGTATTCCAGGACATGTACAAATCTCATTAACTGTTCTGTGGTTCTGAGAGCTTCTCAGGCCTTACTCTGGAGACAGGTACTCTCAGAACCCATGTCCTGTGCTTTTTAGGTCTTCCTCGATCCCATCCTCCTTTGCTCTGCCCCTTGCTCTGAGTTGGACTCTGTCAGTTCAAATGGTTGGCCACTTCAAGCCCAACGACCTACCAGATGCCAAAGCAAGCAAGCACAAAAGAACATGCCAGGGCCCCTAAAGTACTCTGATGAGCCCTGGGTTGCAGGACACTCGTGCCTGCTGGTTCTGGCCAGGGTGATAAACCAGCTAGCTAACTGTGTGAGAGCTTCCGTTTGGGCAGCCTTGTTACCATGTTCTTATGTATGGACCAGGCCAGGGAAATGGAGACAGAAAAGATTCCAATCCCTCCCAACGGCTCCTCTCCTTCTGCACAGAGTCCACAGGTTTAGGGGCGACTTGGTCTAGGACATCTTCCCTTCCCTGCTTTCCCCTCCCTTCCCCTGATTGCTGGGTTGGGGTCAGAACACCAAGAGTCACCAGACCCAGTAATGGAAAGGTGAGGGTCCCAGGGGAAGGGGCACGACAACACAGATACCTTCTTTTCAGAATAGCCATCCCTTGGTCACATTAGTCATAAAACACAATGGATTTTGGAAGATAGTAGGCTTTGAGGCGAAACGGCCGTATCAGGACCTGATCGGGCATCCAGTCTTGCAGCGGGCCACCCCCAAGGAGTCCTGTGCAATGGTTTGGGAACACTGTGGCCCATTTATTTAGGAAAACGAGACCAGCAAAGTAGACAAGATTAACAAGGATCCCAAAGTCCGGAGCGTGGAGTGGTTATAGACAATAAGACGGGGAGCTGGGAGCTGCGTCAAGGACCAGGTCATGAGATAAGTCGAAGCTTTGGTTAGAGGGTGGGCAGGGAGGCTACTCTGAGGCGCACCACATCTCTGCAGTCTAGGAGGCCAGGTACCCAGCGTCCACCAGGATGCCAGAGCCACTGGTCGAGGCGCTGTGGTCGCTGAGCAGGAAGAGGATGCTGTTGACAACGTCCTCCACCTCTGCAGGAGAACAGAGCAGTCAGAGCTTCTGCTTGCTCTCCTGCCTGCTGGGAGCCAGGCCTGCTTCCCTCACCCATGCCCCCAGCTGACCTGCGAACTTCCTCAGCGGGTGGCGCTCCATTAACTTCTTGGCAAACTCAGGGTTTTCAGAGACTTTCTTGCCCATATCAGTCAGCACCACAGTGGGGTTTACGGAGTTTACCCGGATCTGGGGCCAGAAGCCACGGGTGGTGGCACAGCCAGTGAGCTAGCCCTACCCACATGCTCAGGACTTACCCCAGCACAAGCCTGATGAGACTGTTTCACTCTGCCCAGCTGAGCACTGACCCCCGCTGCTCAGAGCCCTGTGTAGTCTGCGAGCCTCACCCCATCCTCACCCTCAACCCCCAGCCCTGCCCCAGGTGCCCGTCATCTGTCCCTCAGGTGCGGGCCCAGGTTCCTGTGCCTACCTTGTATGGCCCCAGTTCCATGGCCATGGCTTTGGTCATCATGGTCATTGCCCCTTTGGTGGAACCTGTCGGGGGTGGGTAGGGAGAGCTAAGGACCCTTTATTTACTCTTTCTGTGATGCCCACCAAAAACCTAGAGACTCCTGTAATTTTTGGAGGGTGCACTCACTGTAGGTGGTCAGGTCAGGGAAGGTGACATAGGCCACCATGCTGGAGACGTTGACAATGGACCCTGGCACTCCACGGTTAATCATGCCCCTGGCTACAATCTGGAAGCCAAGAGTTAGGGGTAGCTCACCCTGCCTTGCCCTGCCCCACCCTCCCCAGGTGCTCATCTCCAGGCCATGGAACTCCTACCATCTCACCTGGGACACCTGCAACACAGAGCGAAGATTCACGTTGAAGGACCTGGCAGGAGAGAGACAATGTCTTCCTGCACCGCCCGACTTCCACAACTCTCCCCAGCCTGCCCACGCTCCCCAAGTGCCCACCTGTCAAAGACCTCCTTGGTAACTTCCAGGAAAGGCTGCATCAGTGCCACGGCTGCATTGTTCACCAGCAGGTCCACGGGGCCAATACCTCCCAGAGCTTTCTCTGTGGCCTCCCAGTCACCCAGGTCCACACACACGGGCTCTATGCCCGGACACTGTGGGAGACATATTTTGGTGACCTGAGGCATTTGTCCCTGTCAGCTTCTGATGTATCCCTGAGGGTGGGAAAGAGGTTCAGGCCAGACAGGGCTGTATGCTCACCTCTTTGGCCAGGCTGACCAGGTCTGCGTTGGTGCGTGTCACGGCCACCACTTTGGCTCCCGAGGCGTGCAGGGCCTTCACGGTGTCCCGTCCAATCCCTGTAAAGATGGATTATGGTGGGATGAGGGCCTGTTAGGCCTGGTCATTGCCAGAGTCAGGCTCACAGGTGGAAGTAAAGACCCCAGAGGTCAGCTGGTTCCTGCTAAGTTCTGTCGGAGGCTGTGTCTGGTGCATATATGCCCAGTCTGGATCTAGGATCCTGCAGCCAAGCTAAGGGCACCCATCACGGGTATTGTCCGTCTGTCTCGGTGGGTCTCCAGCCAGATGTCATAAACAGATTCCTCAGATTCTGGAGGCTGAACTGCGACAAAATCACCTTGGGCCCCTATTCTATGTTGAGGCTGCACCCTTCCCTTCCCCAACCCGCTCCCACTCACCTTTCCCTGCCCCTGTCACCAGGGCCCTCAAACCACTGAAATTCAGCTTCATGCTGCTGACACCGGTGTCCTTCTGCAGCAAGAGATGGGCTCCCTTATTTATGGCTGGGCTAGCAGGTGGGGCAGAGGTGGAGCTAGGAGTCCCCGGCCTGGCCAGAGTGGTATGACTCATTCCTCCATAGGTAGGATCTCTCACTCCAGATATGCCAGCCGGCTGCTTGGTAGGGTTTGAAGAGGAAATGCGAAACTGCAGGCACACGCATGCCTGTGAGAGGCGCTCACAGAGCCGTGTAACAGAAACGTCGGAGGCCTGGGCATGAAATTTGCGTTTCCTTTGGTCCGACTTCATCTTGACCCGCATGGCACTCTAGGCAGACTTTTTAACGCTAGGCTGCATTCCTGATCTAGGAGGAGAGAGATTTCAGTTTCCTAATTTGTTTTCTTTGGACAGAGGCATTGGCCGGCCACAGTTTTAAGGGAAGAGAAGCCGGACTTCCAGTCGGTTGTGGGTGCTTCGGCCTGACTGGAGGGCCGGGACAGCTGTCCCCATGGACATGACAGGGCCTAACCGCTCAGCACTGACAGTGCTCAGGACATAATGCAGCATGCTGGATTGACTCTGGGTTGCTGGGATAGGGGCAGGCGTCTGAAGAACAAGGGCAATAATCTGATTCCTGGGCTAGGGCAGGTGGCAAGATTCTTCCCACCTAACCCCACCCCAGGACTCCTGAAGTCTGCCGCCCTTACTTGTTTCTCTCCCAGGGGACCTCCACACACCCCCAGAGACTCTGCCTATGGTGATTACATGGGAGCCCCCTCTGCCCTCTGAGGTGGGACCCCCCTTCTTTTTTCAGAGCAGATGGGCGAACCCTTGAGTGAATTCTTGAGAAACCATCAGAGGACTGAATGTCCATTCTAACCAAGGGTGATGGTGGCACGCACCTTTAATCCCAGCACTCAGGAGGCAGAGGCAGGTTGATATCTCTTAGTTTGAGGCCAGAGAGAGAGAGACAGACAGACAGACAGACAGAGTTCCAGGTCAGCCAGGGCTACACAGAGAAATCTTATCTCAAAAAACAAAAACAAACAAATGAAAACACCCATCATAAATTCTCCACGTGAGAAGCTGCCTAAGGCCATGCCAAGTCTTACCTGATCTTGTATAATAGGATTCACAGAAGGAACACTTCATTCCAGAGGAGCCATGGCAGGGTGCGAGTCAGCTGTGCCAAGCAGGTTGGGTATACAGACCATCGAAGAGACAGCACCAAGGAGCAGGGGCACTCAGGCTCCCCACCTGCTGCCTGTCTCTTCCTGTAGCCAGGTCCCACGCTAAGACTGAGTGACCCTCAGAAAGAGGGCAGACGTATTGTAGGTGATGTTCACCGCTGACTAGGGCAGGCCCGATGACCCTTGGGCTACCAAGAATTTGCCTGCCTGTCTCTGCTTTCCATTTTCCCGTGGGAAAACTGGGGTTACAGATGTAAGTGGGTTCTTGGGACCTGCATCAGGGCTCTCTCGTTTGCACAGACAGCTGGGCTGGGTTACAGATGTGAGTGGGTTCTTGGGATCCTCATCAGGTCTCTCTCCTTCGCAGAGCGTTACTCACTGAGTTACTTCCTCTGCCCTGCTTTTTCTTTTTGTTTCAGCTAAAACTCTGGGGAAACCAGCAAGGTCACCAATCCTTTTGACTTATTCTTTTGTTTTGCTTTGTTTTGTTTTCTGAGATAGTGTAGCCCTGGCTGCCCAGGAACTCCCTGTGATAGACCAAACTGGCCTTGAACTCAAAGATTAGCCCAGCGCCAGGTTAAAGGTGTGCACCACCACGCCTGGCTGCCACCGCCCACCTCCTCCTCTTTTCTTTTCTTTCTTTCTTTCCAAACATTTTATTGTAAAAGTAAAACAGGTGGTGGAGGCACACACCCTCAATCCCAGCACTCTGGAAGTAAAGGCAGGCAGATTTCTGTGAGTTCGAGGCCAGCCTGGTTTACAGAGTGAGTTTCTTCAGAACAGCCAGAGCTGTTACACAGAGAAACCCTGTCTCGAAATATCAAAAACTAAAACTAAAATAAAAGCAATACTAGTAATGGCTGAGAGGTGGGCAAAGGCATGCTCTTCCCGCCCTGCTAGCCCGCTGCAGCCAGAGTTCGTCGTTTGATTTGTCTGCTTTGCGACCTTGCTGAGCCTGCTGAGCAGCCCTGCTCACGTCCACAGAGTCTGTATCTTACAATATTTATAGCATTGCTCATGTTTTTGATAATATCAATCATTAACTTTTTGCAAGTATATAACATAGCATTTGTAGATATCTATTTGTTATCTAGACTGGAGGGTTGTAAATAATGCTCCTATGTTTGTTTTGTTGTTCTTGTTTTGGTTTTTTGAGACAGGGTTTCTCTGTGTAACAGTCCTGGCTGTCCTGGAACTGGCTTTATAGACCAGGCTGGCCTCGAACTCACAGAGATCCGCCTGCCTCTGCCTCCTGAGTGCTGGCATTAAAGGTGTGCGCCACCTCACCTGGCTTATGAATTAAGTTTTCCTGTAACACAGTCATGCCCATTTTTTATATGACTATAGCTGTCTTCACGTTACCAGCAGCAGTGCTAGTAAATTATAGCAGAGACAGGAAGGCCTACAAAGTCTCAATGATTTACTCTCTGGCCCTTTTAAAAAAAAAAAATCATCCAGCTATTGCCCTAAAGTTTTGGTGGTTTTTTTTTTTCTCTCTCTCTCTTTTTATTTTTATTTTTACTTTTTTATATTTTGAGGCAGTTTTTCTGTGTAACCCTAGCTGTGCCTGGAACTCACTCTGTAGACCAAGGCACGCACCACCACCGCCTGGCAACATTTTAGCTCTTTATTTGGGCTGTGTTGGTGGTACCAAGTCACTGCCATCTTCAAGAGAGCTGTCCCTAGACTAGAAGACAAGGACCCTCAGAAGGCTGTGGGAAAGTCATCGTCCATGGTAGGTGAAGATGTTCCAGCGTTGGCTCCTTTCCAGTGTGGCTACCCAGGCTCCTGACAGAAACCCTCTACCTGTATTCTGTGTGTAAATCCAGTACACTCTCTCACTGGGACCTAAGGGAGAGGCGTAAATGTTATTACAGGTCTCCCAGGAGAATGAACTTAGAATATGTTTGTGGATTTTTTTTTTTTCGTTTTTCAAGACAGGGTTTCTCTGTAGCTTTGGAGACGGTCCTGGAACTAGCTCTTGTGAACCAGGCTGGCCTTGAACTCACAGAGATCTGCCTGCCTCTGCCTCCCGAGTTCTGGGAATAAAGGCGTGCATTGGGGATTGTTTTTTATACTTTGAACAGTATACTGGGCATATTATAATAAGGAAAAGAAGAGACTATTTAAAATGATCTCCCTGTGGCGGTAAGTATGGTGGACAGAGACAGCACAAAGGTGGAGCCTGTGTGAACACATCTTTGGCAAACAGCCATAGCCCGCATACAGTCGTAATTATACCATCTCTGATAAGACACTTCAAGGGTAACCATCCCGTATTCTCAAGCAATATGGATTCTTCTATTTGGAAAAACTGCATTCTAAAAGAAAAGGTATGGATCGGGACCGGTGGGCAACCCTGTGGATTTCTGAGACAAGAATCCCTCTTGTTCTACTTAGCTTTCTATTGCCGTGATGAACAGTATGACCAAAAGCAACCTGGGGAGGGCAGGGATTGTCTCATTAGCTGTGGTCCATCATAAAGGGAAGTCAGGGCAGGAACTGGAGGCAGAAATCAAAGGAGAAGCCATGGAGGAACACTGTTTACCGGCTTACTCCTTATGGCTTGGTCAACCTGCTTGTTTGTTTGTTTGCTTGTTTGTTTGTTTGTTTAAAAAGGGGTCCCTCTATGTAGCTCTAGCTGTCCTGGAACTCACTGTATAGACCAGGCTGGCCTAGAACTCATAAAGACTCATAAAGATGCACTTACCTCTGCCTCACAACTGCTGAGATTAAAGGTGTGTGCCACCACAACCTGCTTGTGCATAGAACCCAGGACCATCTGTGTGAGTGTTCAGGCATCTTTACTGACCTGCCCTTGGGGTTCTGACAGGGTATGTCCTCAGCTGTAGCCACTAAGAGGGCCTCCTGGGCACATTCACTATGTCCCCTTTTATTTATTTATTTTTTAATATTTATTTATTATGTATACAATATTCTGTTTGTGTGTCTGCCTGCAGGCCAGAAGAGGGCATCAGATCTCATTTCAGATGGTTGTGAGCCACCATGTGGTTGTTGGGAATTGAACTCAGTACCTTTGGAAGAGCAGGCAATGCTCTTAACCGCTGAGCCATCTCTCCAGCATCCCCCCTCTGTCTCTCTCTCATTCCTTTCTCTGCATCTCTCTGATTTTCTGCCTGTCTCTCTATCTCTCTCCCCCGCCCCCCGCCTCTCTCTTCTACTGTTCCTGTCCCCGGATGCCAGTCTCTCCTTCCATCTTTTTATGTTCCCTTTCTCCTAATAAAAACCCCTCCACGTGAATTATGTTGCATGGTGTCTTTCTCTCACAGGGTGTATTTTTTTAAGAATTACAACATTATTTCCCTGACCGGGGAAGGCTCTCCTGGCGCTTCCTCTTGCCTGCTGGCAGTTTGAGGCATGCCAGAACCCTGGAAGCCAGTCCACATGTGACAACCTCACTTCTCCAACTAGTGGATCGCCGGGCCCCTCCATCTAACACCGACACACCTGGTGAGCCCCCTTCCCCACCTCTGGCTATTTCCCACGAGTGCCTTTTGGCCTCATTAAGTCCTGGTACCATGCAACTGCATCTCTCTCTCTCTCTCTCTCTCTCTCTCTCTCTCTCTCTCTCTCAGCCCTCGGCTCCCACCCTTTGTGTGATGACTCATTGGGCAGTCCATGCCTTTCTTGTACCCTTGGGTCCTTCGGGCTTTGTCCTGCGATTCCCACTCCTTGAGTGAAGATTCTCCAGGGCAGCTTGTGCCTTTCTCAACTGATCCTCGCTTGACAAAAGCCACTGGATCTCATTCTGCCTCGCTCATGGGAGAATAAGCCTACCAAAAATCTGTTTTCCAGCACTCTGTGTCCTGATATTTTACAGGACCTTTGCGAGATTCTGCTAGCGATCCTGATAAATGGGAGGAGGTGTCACCTATTCACCCTTCCACCTCCCTGTCAAACCAATAAACCTCTTACACTAACTCTGTTTGCATGCGGCATGTTTGCTCAGAGGTAGAGTCACCGAAAGGTGTTCACTTCAGGCTGGGACCCTACCCAGCTGCTCCACCCTCAACAAATGAACTCTCTTCCACCTGCAACAAATCTGCTTTCTTGTTCACTGGCGGCTTTGCCTTCCATTCAATGCTGGTAATTGGGTCTCTGGTGGGGCTCTCCACCCCTGACCACTCTCCTGGATGTAAGGCTTCCTTTCCCGAGCACAGTCCTCTCCTCGCTTTCTGACTTTTCTCAAAGTTCTGGTACCAGGTGACTGTCTCTCTCGGGCTCAGAGCCCTTGGCCCCCTGCTCTGTAAATTTGAGGAAACACAAAAACAGCCTGTGCCATCTTGAAATCGACCCTCTCTGAATTCCTGGGACGCTAGGAATGGCAGCCCCCTTGGGTCTTACTTCTCCACCTCACTCATGAGAGCTGTGCCATCGTCTATACCTCTTTGATCCTGCTGGGATGCTTTTGGAGACCCCCTGGCCACTCCTAACCAGCTATTGCTGCAGGACTACCGGCTGGCGGCCACAGCTGGCGGCCACAGCTGGCAGCGTAGGACCATCAGACACGTCCGGGTGATGCTCTAAGCCCTAGGGAGTCTGCTTCGATCCACCTCAAACAGCATTTTGCCAAGTCCAGTCAGCGCCTGATGGTTCCACAGAGCCTGGACAGAGACGTGAAACAGCCAGATATGCCAGGATGTGGCCAGCACCCCAGCTTTCCCAGGTCCCCCAAAGATGAACAA